CGTTTGTTATAGCGCGACTGTGGAAATTAAATGTATTGCAAAGTTGTGTTCAGAAAGAATAAACCAGTTTTATTTAAGAAAGGACCTGTATCGGTAAAGTTTCTTCGGAAAGAATTTTTACGGAAAATTAACTAACGAACGGAGGCGTAACAATATATATATAAAGATGTTTTCAGTCGTGCATCAAATTGAACATTCATTGTTCATACAAGTAATCTATGTGTTCAATATTTTTTTTCTTCTACTGAAGACTGTTACGTTTGAATCCTGCACACTATCGGCTGATGAGCTCCTCTTCCGGAATTACGACACTGCAGGGAACATCCGGTCAATGTTGCCTCAAGTACCATTTTCTAACAACTTCTTGGATAACCACCACTAACACATCTATTACAAAATGTACATTATTTTGAGAAGACGTCAATACTGTATTTCTAACCAGGTGAGATACAGTGTTTTGAGAAGATGTTACTATTGTATATATATATATATAAACATCTGACAGAGGTTTATAATCAAAATTATTGTAATCGCATTTCCTCCTAATTTCTTTCTCGTGTGCTTTACCTTAGAATGTTTTAATGAGTATTTGAAAATCATTTCAGCTGCTTTTATTTAGTGTCTGTCAGGAGAATCCTTCAAACAGTATCAAATAGTGTACGTGTGTGTGGTGTTACATTACACAGGATCATTCATGAACGTTGTGTAACATAAACGAATCGAACACAAAAACACAACTAGTAAGCAACATTTAAACAAAGTAAAACATTTGACAAGAATATTAATATCGCAAAGCATGAGGCTAACTGCGCTTGTTGTGAGGTTAACTGCGGTTGTTTAAACACGCAGTAAGCCTGTTATTTTGTTAATATGGAAGAAAGAATGTTTATTCTGGTTCATATTTAGCGTTTGTTAAGTGAGCCACAGCAAGTAAGGACAACAACAACAACAACAACAGAGAAATAAACGAGTAATAAACTGAAGATGTTTTATTTCTTGCGACGTTTCGGACAACCGCCTTTCATCAGGCTTCACAGCAGAGATCAAGCGTTTCTGTATCGTGCTTTGAAATTTCAATCTGTATGCTTTAAGCATACGCAGGCTAAGCAACCATTCAGTCTTTACAAAATGGTAAAAATCTTGAGTCAACGATACACATACCTGTTTCAGTCTTTACAAAATGGTAAAAATCTTGAGCTAACGATACACATACCTGTTTCAGTCTTTACAAAATGGTAAAAATCTTGAATTAACGATACACATACCTGTTTCAGTCTTTACAAAATGGTAAAAATCTTGAGTTAACGATACACATACCTGTTTCAGTCTTTACAAAATGGTAAAAATCTTGAGCTACCAAGCTAGATTCCATAAAAGTTTTATAAATTATTAAAAATGGGAAAAATCTCAGGTTTTATTTAGACTCTTTCCCTGCAGTCTATTCCCCACGGCTGCTTCCTACCAGCTGTTCCCTAACTACCGCTCCCCCTGGGTGAGAAACATGATACTGTGTAATGTTTTTCCTATAAACTCTTAATGTTGGTCGATCATGGTAATAGTGTAGATGGTTTGAGATTTAGTTTTACTAACAGAAGTAAAGTCACTTCACAAGAGAGATAAAAATAAAACATTACAGTATTTCATGAAATGACACCCAATGGCACAGCGGCATGTCTGAAATCTGGTTTCGATACCCGTGGTGGGCAGAGCACAGATAGCCCATTGTGTAGCTTTGTGCTTAATTACCAACAAACAATTTCATGAAATCACTCTCAGACTTTGCTCTGGTGTCAACAACATTTTATTCATCACATACGTAAACACACAACTAGTAAGTAGCCATAAAATCTAAACATATATTAAAATTCTTTATAGAATATGAAACTTACAAATGATGCGATCAAGTAGAATTAACACCCTTATCCACTGACTGATACAATGTTGTTATTACTACGATGATAAATGAGAGCAACAACTCCTATGACTTGATGCTTTTCGACAAAGAAATGAATAAACCGTATCATTCAGAGCTTCGATATTTACTGTTGTATTAGAATTAGGACATTAATTTAAAGGAAGTTAACAAAAAATAAATAGTCTTCTGACAAACAGTGACAAATGCAGAGGTATAATTATGTATAAACACATTTGTACAACTACAAGCATATTTTTAATACAATAAATTTACAAACAATATTAATACCACTGATGAGTATACTTAGTGAGGAACATGTACACTATATATATATATATGTATATATAGGTTTTTAATTTATAGAACTTGTGCATTTTTGAATTAGGCCTACATGAAACCAAAAACGGCTAACAATTAATTAGGGTAATTATTAACCTATCTTTCAAGTACATCTCTCAGTGCCAGTCTATTGCAATGTTAACCGTGGCTTCCTTGGGGGCCGAAAACAAAGATTTAATTTTAATCTTAAATAAACAATAAGTCGATAAAAATTACTTTGAATTAAATAAATGAAAGGATATGTTATTGTTCTTACTGTTTTTCAATCACCATGGTAAAGTTATAGGTTGGGGGGGGTCTTCAAAATTTTTTATCCACATCAAGGGAGCCTCAGACTAAAAGAGTTTGGGAACCACTGCATCAGTACTTTTTCAAGCTAAGTTTCAGGTACCTTCGAACAGTACTTTGTAAAGCTTCTCCAATGGCATCTCGAATACCTTCAGCAATCAGTTTCTCCATCTTAAATCTGCTTACTCCGAGGAAATTGAGAGAGGGGACTTTCACAGAGATGGTTCCAACTTTAGAAGGTTCATAAGCTGTCAAAACAGCTAGCGAAGAGGTCTTTGCCCTGTTTTCTGAAATCTCAATGAAGACTTGAACCGGGTCTTTAATACGAGCGCGTACTTCCCCAATAATGTACACACCATATAATTTAGTGGCTAATAAATACGTCACTTCCAAATTTCTCCATTCTAGCCAAGCCGTCGTCACTGTTTTAAAGCCAGTTTGTGTAACCCGAGGCTCTCCCACTGGATGAAACGTTGAAAGGCCGAAGAGCTGTCCCTGTTTCAGTCGCAGTTGTCCCTTATGATTTTTGATGTTATACTGTAACGTCCTGCGATCCAGGGCTACGGGGTCTTCACGATTTAGTTGGAGGAGTTTTGCAGTGTTGCTTACGAGAGTCTTCACTTTAGAGTAATAGTCCTCGTTTATTGTATTTTGCAGCACCGAGTTCTTGTGAGATTTCAGCCTCGTTAGAATGGCCTCAAGTTTGGACACGACAGATTCGTATTTGGCTCCACGAGAAACAGAGTCTTCTGTAAAATATAGACATTTTGATTTACTGAATAAATAACGATTATGAATATTTAACTGAAAGTGTGTGAAAGACTTAAAAAAAAAACACATAAAGTTTGGTCATTTTGAGTAACACCAGTTTTGACACGATTGAAAAACATTGTTTTTTTGTTGTTCAACATAAAGCTAAGGAATGGGCTATCTGTGCTCTACCCACCGCAGCTATTGAGTTACGATTTTTAGCATTAAAAGGTCTTAAACTTACCATTCAGTCTTTGAAAGAAACTAAGTAAAAACTCAAAAATAAATGTTTGAAATCAGAAACGTTTTAAACGAATTCTAATGTAGAACGCTTGAAATTATTTAGCAACGTTAATTCACAAACCAGCGTAATTCAAACAGTTATAAATCAACAACCGTTCTACAAAATTGTCCAAACAAATGCTGGTCACGTGGTTAGAGATTGATTTTTATAACTGACAGATTTCCCCATTTATTGTTTTACCGAAACATAATATTTAACATCACAGTTCTCTACCGATAAACTTATAACTTACTGTCCGTTCTCCGCCTACAAACATATAACGTATTGTCTCATTTAAGAAATCGTAAAGACACTTACCATAGTTCTTCACGTATTCTTGGCCACTGGCAAGAGTAGTCAGTATCAGACTTAATAATACAATCGTAAGTCGAATTCCAAACATTATATCAATTTTAAAACAGTTATTGAGTATAAGTTGTCTTTCTTTGTAAATACTCAAACTTAATGTTTCAATTCTTTGAGTTAGTCGTGGCGCTACAGTCAAATGAAACGAGCAACGCTTCTTATAGGTGTCTAAGCATGTTTATATCTATCTATATTTATATATGTTCGATTTCTTCCTACAACAGACGAGTTGGTGTTGGTGTCGCCGGCATTTCCGTTTTACACCCTAAACTTAAACCTGTCATCTTTTTTCGTGACAGGATGACGTTCTTCCTGAAGGATTTAACGGAAACACGACTCTCTGATTAAGCAGTCAGATATTACACATTTCTTATGTAAGTACTAGCCATGTCTACGTTCCGGAAGAGAAGAGTTTGTTTTCTATCTCATTTTTTTTCCCCAAGTCAAATCGTGCATATTAAGTTCGTCCGAAACCTTTTAACAAACGTCACATCTGATAACTCAAAATGACACAAGTTCTATTTGAGATGGTTTTATTTCTGACTAATCTTGGAGTTCGTCAAACCCACGCGTCCAATAAAATCATAAGTTCCGGTTTCGTCTATAAATTTCAAATATTCCGTTTTTAGCAGTTACTTATATGAAAAGTATTATCTTCCGAGTTTCTATAGTTGACGTAACAAGCCACAAACTAGAGTCTAGTGACATCTAGTTTTCTTATCAGTAAGTAGAAAACTAAAAGGATTACGAGGTAGAGACTAGTTGGCTTGATGGAGGTAAAAAGCAAGTAATAATAATTTCGGCTTGGAATTATATTCATATATTAATATAATGCTAAAATACGTGTTCAGATATTAGAACGATGTTCCAGCTGCACGAAAATAATTTGTGTCAGTTTCATTTCACATAATTCGTTTATTGGTTATCATAAAAGCTTGGCGAGCTTTTGCTCTTAGTTGAATTACTAACTAAAAAAAAGGATAAAATTTGACCACCTGTTCCCAAAACTTTCACATTCGATTCGGCTAGACAAGTCTTTAAACAGAAGACGTAACCTGTCGACATATAATTACAATAACTTATCTTAATTGATTATTACTAAATCTAGACGATATTACAAATTGGTATATATTTTTAATTCCATATACTTCATAAATTACTTTAAAACACTTATGTTATTTTATTGAAACGGTTTCGAACGTATTTGTAATATTAGGGAAAGAAACATACATAACTTGACTCCTATAAAAGAACCATAAATAACTTGAATCTTGGAAAAGAACAATATATAACTCGGCTCTTGTGAAAGAATCATACATAACTTGACTCCTATAAAAGAACCATACATAACTTGAAACTTGGAAAAGAACAATATATAACTCGACTCTTGTGAAAGAATCATACATAACTTGAATCTTGGAAAAGAACAATATATAACTCGACTCTCGTGAAAAGTCAAGTTATGTATGATTCCATGTTATTCAGATGAGGAAAACTGAGCAAAAACCTGGTCAATCGATAGTCGATTCATGAATGTTTACTCAGTAAACATTACTGGTCATTTACGTGACTTCTAATGTTATTGTCCAGTGCCATGCCAACCAGTTTTGCCTGACATCTAAGTAAGTATGCCGTGCCATACTAACCAGTTTCACCTGACTTCTAAGTAAGTATGTTGTGTCATACTAATCAGTTTTACCTGACTTCTAAGTAAGTATGTTGTGTCATACTAACCAGTTTTACCTGATTTCTAAGTAAGTATGTTGTGCCATACTAACCAGTTTTACCTGACTTCTAAGTAAGTATATTGTGCCATACTAACCAGTTTTATCTGACATCTAAGTAAGTATGTTGTGTCATACTAACCAGTTTTACCTGACTTCTAAGTGTATGGCACAACATACTTTAACCAGTTTTACCTGACTTCTAAGTAAGTATGTTGTGCCATACTAACCGGGTTTTACCTGATTTCTAAGTATGTATGTTGTGCCATACTAACCAGTTTTATCTGACTTCTAAGTATGCTGTGCTATATTATCCCATTTTATCTTATTCCCAAGTAATAATAAGGTTCCATGCTAAATAGCCTTACCTGACTTCTAAGTATGTTGTGTCATACTAACCAGTTTTATCTGACATCTAAGTAAGTATGTTGTGTCATACTAACCAGTTTTACCCGACTTCTAAGTAAGCATGTTGTGCCATACTAACCAGTTTTACCTGACTTCTAAATAAGTATGCCGTGCCATACTAACCAGTTTTACCTGATTTCTAAGTACGTATGTTGTGCCATACTAACCAGTTTTATCTGACTTCTAAGTATGTTGTGCCATACTAACCAGTTTTACCTGACTTCTAAGTAAGTATGTTGTGCCATACTAACCAGTTTTACCTGACTTCTAAGTAAGTATGTTGTGCCATACTAACCAGTTTTACCTGATTTCTAAGTAAGTATGTCGTGCCATACTAACCAGTTTTACCTGATTTCTAAGTAAGTATGTTGTGCCATACTAACCAGTTTTACCTGACTTCTAAGTAAGTATGTTGTGCCATACTAACCAGTTTTACCTGACTTCTAAGTAAGTATGTGTGCCATATTAACCAGTGACTTCTAAGTAAGTATGTTGTGCCATACTAACCAGTTTTACCTGACTTCTAAGTATGTTGTGCCATATTAACCAGTTTTACCTGACTTCTAAGTAAGTATGTTGTGCCATACTAACCAGTTTTACCTGACTTCTAAGTATGCTGTGCTATATTATCCCGTTTTATCTTATTCCCAAGTAAATATATGGTTTCATGCTAAATAGCCTTACCTGACTTCTAAGTATGCCGTGCCATACTAACCAGTTTTACTTGACTTCTAAGTATGTTGTGCCATATTACCTGCACATGATTTTCTTAAACCTCAGAACAGTTTTTACAGATATATTTGCACTCGTAAAACACAACGACCAAGGCGCATTTTGAAATAGTTTCTGTTTTCATGGTACTGTTTCTAAGATCAGCTTGTTCAGATGGACATAGCCAAAGGAACAGTGGCGTTGCTTCTGACCAATCCACTAGTCCTGCCAAGACGCATTTTGAAATAGTATCAGTTGTTTTCCTTATAACGTCTCCGAGATCAGCTTATTCAGCTGGACATAGGGTGCAAACCATAAACTTTGTGTATACCCACAGCCAAAGCAAGAGTGGCGTTAGTTCTGACCAATCCATTGGTTCTGTAAGATATTACAAACAAAGAACTACAGAAATAAGCAGTGTTACATCTTGCTGGAAGTGTTATATATACAAGTGTTATATATGTACAAGATTGTTCATTTTAAATTCAATACGAGAATGTTACTTAGCTTATATTTTGTGATCGTTAAAGTAAGTTATTTTTTAGAAGCGATAGTTATGGCAAGTTTGCTTACGTCACTGTTTACGAATAATTTGTTGTGTAATTCAATTGTTGTTAATTGACGTCATGTTACTGGAACCTTCTGAAATTTTCTCGTTGCTTTAAATGAGTATTGTTGCATCACAACGTTTAGAAAGTTCTAGGCCTTAATCGGGAAATATGCGACTAAGTTAGTGCAAGAAAGTAAGTTAGTGAAGTTAGACTAAGTGTGAATTAGTTGGTAAAAGAGTAGCCCAAGAGTTGGCCCTCTAGCCTTTCATTGCTAAAGTAGGGACGGCTAGCGTGTAGCTTTGCGCGAAATTCAAACCAATTCACATAAATGGAATTATCCAATATAACAACGTAATTGAAATAGAGAAGGCTCTAAATGTAACTCCTATCTGTCTCAATCAGTGCTAGCGTTTTGCTTCATTTTAGAATAGTAATGTCGTTTCTCCAAGACAAAAATAGAAAACCCTAGACATTTTTTAAAAGACAGGTTACCCCCCCCCAACTTAGAAAGGACCACATTTCGAAGGTGCTCTTTCTTAAGGGTTATAGGATTTTCTTTTTTAACCTACTTATTTTTCTAACATAAGGAATGCCGTTTCTTTTCTTTTTTGCATGAACCGTTCCAAAGAAATTTGGTATAGCGTAACTGATTGAGGAAAATTTACCCTTTTTTATTAATCTCTAAATTTTTGTTTTGATATGTGTAGGGAGCAATGTATTTCACGGGCAATTTAAATTTTTTAATTTTTTACATGAAGCAAAGATTAACTATACGATTATAAATCGTACTTCATATAATAAAATATGAGGTTTTCAGCTTAAATGACACCTAAAACAACTTAAATACAAGAGTCCAGGAACATCGCAAATTAAAAAAATAAACAAAGACGTTCTGTTTATAGCTGTATTATTGTTATTGGAGATTATAATATTTGCATTATTTGTATGAAATGTTTACGCAATCCCTTTCCGGAGTTTGTGCATCATTGCCAAACAAAGTCGAAATATAATAATGGATTACCACTTCCGTGAACTTTCGAACCCGTGACGTTATGAAAACGTCACCAAAACATTCGAACCCACTTATTAACGGCTATTTTATTTATATTTTTAACTCTATAAATTATAATTTATAAATAAAAATACTAATTAGTCGCTAAGTTTTGCTTATGAACGGAGAAACGTGGATTCTTAGACTTGTTCAAAGTTATGCCATTTAACAGATCAGTTTCTTATCTAAAATATTCAGGCGTGAATTTAAGCAGAACTCAATCGACTTATGGCCAGGTGGTTAGGGCGCTTGACTCGCAATCTGAGGATTGGAGGTTCGAATCTCCGTCCCACCAAACATGCTTGCCCTTTCAGCCGTGCGAGCGTTATTATGTGATGGTTTGTATTGAAATAAACGAACAAACGACCAGCTTAGTACTTAATATCTACATTATTGGCCTAGCATCCCTGGTGATTTTGACGATAGACTCATAATCTTAGGGTCGTGGGTTCGAAGCTCCGTCACCGAACATGCTCGCCCTTTCAACCATGGGAGCATTATAATGTGATGGTCAATCCTACTATTCGTTGGTAAAAGAGTAGCCCAAGAGTTGGTGGTGTGTGGTGATGACTAGCTGCCTTTCCTCTAGTCTTTCACTGCTAAATTAGGGACGGCTAGCGCAGATAGCCCTCGTGAAGCTTTGCGCGATAACCAAAACAAACTAATCGACTTATACCCATGTTGTTGTTTGGCGCTTGGTTTGGGACAACAGTTCAACAGTCCGCGTGATCA